TTCATCGATATTCCAAGCATATGTTTAATAACCTAAGGGAAAAACTATTTTTCTAATAAACGATATTGAAATCAATAATCCTTTATAAGTCACAAAACGTATTTTGAGTAAAATGTATGACATAATGATACAGCATTACGAATTTAGAAGTTATCACTGAAAGTAATCCTTGCTAAAATATTTACATTCTTCGTAAAGGATAACAAATTAGATACCTATTCCTGTGCACTTTTTGTTTCTTATGGTCGGTTAACGCCTTCTGGTCAATGAAATATCTCCTGGAAGCATAAAAAAATGACGAGATAGCATATAATAATTCGTTTTCAGTTCGATAATATTGACTGGCACTTGTACAGTATGTGAGTGCTTACAGGTTTACCCACGGTACAGTGCACCACAGTTTGTATAAATTAAATCGCATAATATAATATGATACCCGTAATTATACAAATTACAATAATATTCGAGTAGGTACAACGCACTGTGTACAGAAATGTCCATTGGCGGTAAAACTTACGCGCATTCTAAGCAGTAGAACTGTGCTAATCCTGGCAGATCCATATCAGGAGACTGTTGTAGTAATTTTCTCGCATTTTCATTCCTCAAGTCCTGATGTATTTGATCAATATCTTTAGTTTTATGCCTTGTACGAGCCTTCTTTTTAATGTCTTTGATGTTCTTATGCACTCTTTTCCTTCTTACCCTACCCATAGTTGTAATATCACAAATTATAATTGTACTGTACAGTGAACCTCAAGTTAAATCAGTGGATAAGTAAGTACTGTAATACGAGCTCGGTACTGTACAGTACCGTACTATAATGTGCTTAATTGTGATGTGATAGTACAGTACAGTACTGTACCTACCGTATGATCGCATTAAATAAATTAATTAATTATAACAATGTACTGTACAGTACAGTACTGTACACTGTACTGTACTGTACTGGAACGAAAAAGATCACGCGGGTACAGTACAGTACATCCACCCTCGTGCTATCAAGCCTACAGTACTGTACTGTACAGTACATTGATACTATTTTCATCCTACAGTCTACAGTACATTAAACGGTAGGAAAAGCGGCGACAGTACGCAGAGTTAGAAGTGTATTTCAGCATGATGTACTGTTTAGGTGCACACTAAAATCTTTATAGAATTAGCTGAAATTATGAATATGAGTTCTAGTAAGTGAATACCATAGTTTGAGACGTTTCAGCATGGTCGTGTTTAAAACTTTGAATACAGTACTGTACAGTGTACAGTACTGTACTGTATGCCGACTACAAAATTACAGGTTCTCATTGTACTGTACAGTACAGTACTGTATATCACTGAAACGTACAGTACAGTACTGTACTGTACTGTACTGTAATGTATAGTAAATGCCACACAGTACAATATCCTCTGACTCTGACCACTAAGTGTAACGGAAATCATCGTGATAGCGGTAGTTAAAGTTTTTCAGTCCACGCCGCANATAATATTAGAAATCAGCGACGTCCTGCAAATTAAGCTTCCATTTAAGCTTCGTCGAATCAGTTTCGTATATTTTACGTTTTTAGAAATGGTAAATATTTAANAATATTTAGCTTATATCTCTTAGCCTACATTACAGCTATCAGATCCTAGAGTAGCTGATTTTGGATCCTACTGAG